CAGATCAGAGAAGCGCCAGATGCCTCGCTTCGCATCGCTTCTCGCTTTAAGCGAGGAAGCAGTTGCTTTTAACGACACTGATTATGACTTTATTCAGCTTTGATGATTAAGAGGACATATTCAATGAACGCAAATATCCTTTTTCCATATATCATCTTGTAAAACAAATATAAGTATATATCTCTATTTGCAGATGACATCTTTATGTTTCGTGATGTGGAGGCATTTCAATTAACATATCCCAAGTTTCATTCTACTTGGGATTCTTTATTTGGAGATCGAGAGCAGGGTCCAGAATAGCGTGATGTCTTCGTTTGGAGCTTCAGGCCCGAGAATCAACTTCTTTTTTGAATCAAGTAACAAAATTATATTAAAAAAGGGCAAGAAAGAAGCATGTATACAAGTATACCAAAAACGTAGAAAACCTGACAAGGAAATGATTTTGTACGAAAAACACCCAATCTTCTATACATGTAAAAACCTTGTGGGTGCTTCAAAAAGAGATAAGAGATAAAAGGCTATTTCTCAAGTGTACAAAATCCTTCTATACTCCATCAAAATCTCTTCCATTTCTCTCTCCGTATGGTCCATGTAATTGCTAGAAGAGCAATATCCAATGCCCTGCTTCTTCTCCTCCGTCTTCTAAAAATCTAAATAAACATTATTTCTTTCACCATGCCGGTGTCATATGCTCAATTCCGAAACATCTCAGAATTTTCCACCAAAAGCAAGACGCCATTCGGCAACGTCGAGGAGGTGGTTCACATCTTCTTCTTAGTTACGCATGAAACATCAACTGACACAAGTAATCTTCCTTTTCCTTAAATTCTTTGATGTCAAGATCACTCCATTCCAGCTAACCAAGCAAAGAAACACACCTTCCTCAGTATCCCATGGATCCATATTGAGATATGTGGAAAAGCTTCTCATAATCAACTTAAAGTGCAAGGTCATCTTGATGGTGGAGGTGAACAGATTCAATTAGCATAAATGTTTAATTGCAGAGACTTGACGCTTTTGATGACTTACCTTGGATTAATGTTCGGAGCATCACAAGTGGAATTCTTCGTCTAAAAACCGGTGATTGGAAAAGTTGTCAAGAAGCTAGTAAGGTGACAACATAGTTACTTATGAAAATGAGGCAATGAAGTATTGGTCTAGAGCACTCTATCAAGCACTTACATATTTCATGTCTTATGCACGCGCACTAGTTGTATCAAAAAGTTGAAGAGACCACAAAAGGAACTTTTCGGAGATACAAAAGATGGACATAGAAAGTTACATGGAATGAATTAGGAGGTGGTATTACATCTCCAAAAAGGTATGGTGGACTCAACTGAAAGATCCGAGAAAAAATGACTTTGGTTGACCATTGGATGTAGTCTTCATGGAGAGTAGTGATAGAAAACGACACATTGGAATAGAGGTAGACTAGAAAATTTTTATTACCCTATGAATGTGCCAATATGGACTATAGGGATATATCATGAAGGGATATTAAGTTTACCGACGCCATCACTTTCAAAGTTGGGAATGAAAATATGATTTCATTTTGGGAGGATATGTTGTGTGATGATGTTTTGAGAATTACCTTTGCGACTATTGAAATTTTTTTGGCAAAAGGATATGACGGGTCGTCAAGTTTAGAGGACACATGGTGCCAGACTCATTAAGAGCTGAAGTTCAAAAAAAGATCTACAAGATTGGGAGAGATAAATTCCAAAATTTGATGAAAGTTTTTTATTAACAATTCATAGCACTGTTGGAATAAGGCAATTGGAAATGGGATGGAAGGGGAATGGGATTGTTCTAGGTAAATTCCTAGTACCACAAGTTACCTAAAGGAGAGGATACATTGTGCCGTTGCTGTCAGTTTGGATTCTACCGCGATAAGGGAGGTATGTTTGTTCTTGTGATTGGTAGTAAGGTGGGTATTCTAATCCACTGAAAAGTTTAGGGACAAATGGTTAACTTATGTTACTAGTGCTTTATACGCAAACGATTGACGAGAATTAAAGCATTGTCTATTTGGTACTGGTGGACTATATTGAACCTCTTTGGTATACCGTAATTAATGCCTACTATTGTTAAGGTCGTAATGCACAACTAAACTTTCAGTAGAAAGAGAAGAAGATGCTAAATTAGGTATGCATCTCCTTTGACCCATGTGAGTACTTTGGAGATTGAAGATAAGAGAGCACTAACAAGGGTGGAAAATGAATTTGCTCCGTCAAGTGCTTGTTTTAGTTTTCGGTAATCGTTGTACACATGAGGTCACCGTCACCATCAGTGCAGATGAATGAATATCACTCGTTGAGAACCTTTGTTTTTTTAAAATTAATGTAGGTCCTTAAGTCTTACTACTTGTATACCTTGATTTTTCACATGATATCACTAAAATAATTAGTTTATAAAAAAATTTACAATATAAGAAAGGACCGTAAAGCATGGACATAGACATGATCCTGCATGACTCAAAATTTGAGAGAAAAACACAGTCTAAAAAATCAGGGAACACGACACCATTAGTACTATATAATTTATGTTTTTGTTTAATTTAATGTATAGCTCGAAATTGATATTTATAAAATGACAAATAATGAAAAACATATTTCATCCTAGCAATGTTATCAGATGGTATAAAACCTTGCCACGGAGAAAAACCTGGTATTTAAGTGGAGAAGGGTAGAGAGATGAGCCCATTGCTCTCTAAGTTTCAAAACGTGCGCTAGTGCCCCTCGTGGATTTCTCGGTTATCAAAAAAAACTATCAGATGGTATAATTTCATAATTATTTGAGGGCTACCAAACAATCTAATATAGGAAAAATTTGAATATTTTGTATGAATCCAGGATGGCCGGTGTGTAATTTGAGGATACAAGTCTGAGGAAAAAACGGGATCTTCATCAAAAGTAAAAAAAGGTACATGATGGTGTCTGACGTGTCGTCGTGTGTGATATTTGTATTGGTGTTTATACCATACAATCCAAATACATGTATATATATGTGGTGTCTTTTTATATTAAAGGTCAATTTCAATTGTTTTTAACATGGTATTGATATCACTCGTCTGCAGAGTCTCTAGTAGATTGTCCATTCAAGTTTACATATGTATTAAACAGTCTTAATTTCAAGATGAAGGGTTGATCCAAGTCCAGGAAAAGGAGTGTAGAATCTTCTTGAAGTGCCTTCTATTGTGTTGTGTGCTGATGTCTTGTTTTGGGATGCACTAAGTTTCCTGGGTGTTTAGTCGGTCTGTTAGGATTATACAATAGATTACACAACCTCCTTTTCTGTTTAGACCGACTTTCTAGGTAAATCATCATAAAGGTTCTGCCACAAAGAGCTTGCTTGTGTTTTATGGTGGAGACATTTACATTGGCAAGAGTTGTTACTGTTATATTTCTTTCTTGTAGATGGTAGCCAAGTTCTGGAGCCTTCGGGGCTTGAACTGCACTTAAGATCAGGCTTTTCTACACAACAAGAACCTGTAGCAAATTTACCACCACATACCCCTTTGATTGAAGGTGGTAATGACAGTTGCAGAAATGCTGAATCAGATGAAACAAGAGAGAGGAAGGGCGGTGAGAACTCTTAGTATATCATATGGGAATACTGGTTAATGTTGAAGGAAAGATACTTGTATATGGTATTCTGTGGACTCACAAAGATTCCTTTGGAGCTTTTGCAGGAGAAAGAACCCACATAGAGTCTGATGTCCAAGCTTCTGGATTTGAGCATGGTGAAACAAATAGAGAGAAAATCCAG